GTGTGAAGTGTCCCATCGCTGTTCGCCAGTGTGATTGGTTTAAAACACAAAAGTCAAGAATAAAGTGAAGTCGGATTAACAAGAACACATGTACTTTTATTAAATATGATATTATAGAGAGAGCAAAGCTAGCGCGCGAAACTTCGAGATTTGTTCGCCGTTCGCCGTCCGTCGTCAACAAACGTCATATCTCTCTTTCTTTGTGGACATGCGCAGTATGAAAAAGATCGCCTATAAATAGATATTGTTACTTGGTGACTACTCTAAAGATCGAAAATCATCATTCACCAGCCTTAAAATTTGTTTTTGACGAACAAACGATCGTTTTTTCAATGAAAAAAATCGAGTAAAAAAAAAAAAAAAAAAAAATCGCGATTTCGTCAAAAGAGATGCGCGCGGGGATGATAAACTAATCATTTTTTTTATGGGGCCTTATTTGATTGAAATCGTGCTACTGTACTACTAGGCCCTAGGCCTAGTTAATTTTCAATAATTGTTTAAAAATTTTATTTTTCAGGAATTATGGTATAATAATATTAATAATAGGGATTAGCATAATAGAGGCAAAAAAAATTTTTTTCCAAAAAATAAGTTCGGCATTTAAAAAAAATTTTGTTCAAAAGTCTTTCTTTCAAACAAGTATAAATTCCAGAAATATTACTTCCAAAATTAACATTCAGAACATAAAATATAAAACAGACATGTATTTTTATCAAAATCAGGCCATAGATGCACGCATAAAACAAGCCCGTAGCCAGGGGGGTTCGTAGGGTTCGAACGAATCTCCCTTTTTCCTGAAGTGCCCTTTTTTGACTAAAAGTAAAGTGCTAGCCTCTACAACACAAGGAAGTTTTCCTTTTCACCCCAAACAAGTAAGGCCTAGCTAAGCTGACGATTATATATTGGCTCCCCCCCCCCCCCCCTATTGGCCCCCCCCCCCCCCGTCTCCCAGACTGGCGTGCCTGCTTCGCTCGCAAGTGCCCTTTTATCTAAAAAAGAACCCCCACTCTTTAATTTCTGGCTACGGGCTTGTAAAATCGGTAAAGTAGAAGGCATAATTTTGAGAACCGCGCATGACAATGATATATGCATGCAACAACAGTTCTCTCGCCCTGAGCTGTTAAACCACTACCAGTTCTAGGTCTAGCCTACTCTTAACTACTCTTCAACTGTGGTTGGTTGAATCAAAAATCATATTCATTTGCCTTACGGTATATTGGACAAAAAAAATGCAGGCTTAGGTTTAGCCATCGCTTTAAAGCCAATATATAGCTAGACATTTTAGTATCCGTTACGGTTTTATTTTAGGCCAGCTATCATGAACAAAATTTTTTTCATATTTTTCTAGAAGTTTACTTTGTATTACATAGATGGCACTTGTTTGGACATTTTCCATAGCCATAGTATGGTTTTGCTTGACCTGCCCGTGCGTGATCGTGTGGATGGATACACATATTTTTTTACGTTTCTAAACTGATTTATTTTTGTTAAATTTATTTCAGTATACACTTGGTTAGTATTTATTCTGTCATTGCTTTGAATATTTTTTGTTTGGCTAGTGTGCCATCTTCTATTATGCTGCCTATGTGTCCTTAGGCCTAGGGTTTTCAGGGACTGCAGTTTGAGGCCTAAAAAAAAAACAAAAAAAAAACCGACCAACTATTAAACTTTAAAAATTGTCTTATGTATTTACTTTAAATTACCTGCTTCGAAGCCATAAACCTACGTCCACCACAGCCCCACCGTGGTTGGGACTGAGGTGGAAAAAATTGAGGAAATAGTACTGTTCCTCTAGATGGCCGGAAAAGACACTTTTATATAGTAAAATTCATCATCATCACTCCATTTTATTGGCTAATTGAAGCGGCAACAAATTTGTCGTGATCTTTATCAGGGATTTTCGGCAAGATCTGATTAGTATGTGTGATGTACCGTAGAAAATAAAACCTAAAAAACATGGTCTTTGACGTAAAGCTTCAAGTCCACATTCACCTCAGCCCCACCATGGCTGGGGCTATGCACTGTATGTAGCATAAACAAAAATAGGTGCAGTTTAATTTTTTATTTCGTCATTAATCTGTAGAATGACCATCTCTACTCTTATGTGTCAGTAACACTCAGAAAGAATTTACTATACTATAGGTCTATATAATGTCCATTTTCATGGTTTTTTGCAGTTTTTCTTAATTTTTGATGGCTCATAACTTTTGATTGAACAATTGGATTTACATGATATTTGAAATTTAGGCTTTTCTTTGGCCAATAATCATTTCTCTCAATTTTGTTAAATTTCGAGTGGGTGGGGTGGGGTCAAAAAGCTAATGGAATTGAAGATATCATTGCTTAATTCTTTTTTTTTTTTGGGTTAATCAGACTTTTATAGTATTTGGCTAATTATTTTCATACCAAATTAGTCAAATTGATAATTTTTTTTTTTGCCAGCTTTAAACCCTGTAGCATAGCCCTCACCATTTTTGGTTCATTTTTGGTTGTCTTGTTGAACAAAGTAGTTCTTGGTTGATTGACAGAATCACTCACTAAATAGTTTTGGACTTGGTAAACTGCAAACAACAGTCTGAGTGTTGCTAATAAAGTTTGTTTTCACTCCTTATAGATTGATCAATTGTAAAAAATGAGTTACAGTATGAAAGGAGACACATCAGAAGGTAAGTGAAAAAATTATCTTATTTCATTATTTTTCACATAGTTCAACCACTGTATTTGTGTGTCCTGAATTTCATTAGAAACAAGTTACTACCAACTGTAATATGTGTACTGGCAGTTATACCCTTCTAATTAGACATTTGGCAGCCAAACATGTTGGCGATAGAAGACTGCATATAATGAAGGGAGAACTGTGCACAATGTGTGTAGGATATGTGATATGTGTAGGCTATTCAGTCCACAAATTTCAAGTCGGCAATCAGCAATTGCCGACCATATTGCCGAGCCAGAATTGCTACAGGACGCCAATTGTTTGCCGACCTAGGCCTAGATTTTGTTGCTTCAAAAACTGCTTGGAAAGTCAAAAACTTTTACTGAAACAGGCTATAGGAGACACTAAGTTTCATGTAAGTCGTCAAACCAAGGAAATTGGTGGTTCATAAAACAGATTTGTTTGTACAATAACTATTTATAATAGGGGTGCAGTACATACGATTTGTGTACAATCGTCTTGTCTTTCTCGCCTAGTCGTTTCGTAGGCTAGGCCTAGGTAGGAATGACGCTAGCCAGCCAAGGCCTACAACATCACCCAATTGAAGCCACGTGGGCCGCGTAGATCGTAATACTTATCTAAATCTATTATTTGTCTTCATTTTACAGTATTATTATCATATTTAAAATTCTGTTTATTATCTAAAAACAACAAAATTCAACATATTGTAGGCCTAATCCAACCGTCCGTTTACTGTTTGTAAATACATGTTTGTGGGTTTGAGTCTGGTTAGTACTGAATGAAAAATACATTTTTTCCATTTAAAATAAGTGCTGTAAAAACTCGACTGTTCTTAAAAATGTTAGTTACTTTTGCAGAAAAATGTTTAATGAATATAATTAGTATATTACTGTAACTGATTAATATTCCAATTCAATTGAGCAATCAAACTAAGTACTTATTTGTATTTACTCTATTTTACTTATTTTTAATATATGTATTCCTGATATTTTAAAACAACTAGTATATATGTACAGTATTATGTTTTTACTTTATCTATTTATTTAGACACTTGCATTTCAATTTTAACACATGATGTTTTACATCAGCTAGGTTTCTTTGTGAAGGTTTAGGAAGTAGAGAATTGTTTTGTATTCAACTGAGAATATATCCTGGGGTTTTGACCTATGACCCTGGAATTGGAAAGCAAACTATCACAAAGCTACAGCTTCTCATGCATTTGTGGGTCTAAAGTTTCCTGCGAGTTGCGAGAGTCTTGCAGAACTCAGGACAACCTCCCGCTCTCCTGCGAACAAAGAAACAATCTTCCAAAAAATATCCCAGCTCCTGCAAATTCATGATATTTGCATGATTTTACTATGTATTACCTGAAATCAGTGGATATAAGGCATATAATATTTCTACAATTGTTGAACAGATAGTGAAGATGCCTGTGAAGATGAACCAGAAAAGAAAAAAATGAAAGGAAAATTCAAACAGAAAAAAACAAAGTCAATAAGGCAATCAAATCAAGGTACAGTATATGTTATATTTTGTATTAACTTTACAGTAAGTTAGTACTCAACAATACATGTTTGCATGTTTGTGGGTTTTATTCTGGTTGATACCGTATGAATAATTCAATTTTTTTTCATTTAAAATAAGTGCTGTAAAAAATCCACCTTTCTTAAAGATGTTAGTTTGTATATTACTGTAACTTTTTAATTTTCAAAGTCAATTGAGCAATCTAAGTATGTATTTGTAATTAACCAATTTTACTTTTTTTTTTCTTAAAAACATTTTAAACCAACTAGTATGCATAAATCAGGAAGACCTCCAGCTCTCCTGTGAACAAGCAAACAATCTTCCAAAAAACAACTAATCATCTGCAAATTTATGATATTTGCATGATTTTACTATATATACCAGAAATTTCTCTGTTTATCAGCACACAAACAGCAAAATGTAATAAGATGTCTTTTGAAAGCTCATTTAACTAGGCCTCCCAGAAGTTGCTTCTTTAATCTTAATACAGCTGGCTTCGGCAGGCCCGTAGCCAAGGATGGTTTTTATGGTTCGGGCAAACCACTTTTCTAACCGCCAATCCCCCCTTCTCTTTTCTGGTGAACCCATATCCCTCACATTTTTCGAACAAGTCCTACAACCCAACTAATGCACCTCAGACCCACCTAGATTTTTGCGGAATGTTTTGCATTTTTAAACATACTGTAACTGCTTTTATAGCATTTTTATAGAACACAAAAATCCCCTAGTACCGGAGGTCTCGCCGACTCCATCAGGAATTCCCCCTTGAATGAACCTAGCTAACTGCTTCCCTGGCTTGTTTATAATTGGTGTACAATTCTGCTGCTGCTTCTGGCATTTTTTCTACTCTATGTGGCGTGACTGGATTTCCCGTACGATTAAACATCGTAACAGTACTGGGTTTGGTCTACAGGAGTTTGTGCTGCGAACAGGTCATTCCATTCATAGAAGAAGCCTTTTGATGGAGAAAGTGTACCATTTTAGCAAAGGTTTGCCTAGGTCGAAACTAACTCTGGCTATATAAAATTGAGATTGATAAGATTGAAAAATATTAATCTAATTATTGTAGTGATAATATGTACAGGTTTAAATTACTTTAAATTGTTAACGTCAATATATTTACATTTAAATTGAATTGTGAAAAAGGAAGAATAGGAAAGAGATAATTTTTCAACCACAACACAAATTTGACCCAACCACATTTTCTGATTTTGTCATTTATGTTGACTTAATCAGAAGATATGGTTGGTTAAGTCATGTATCATGCATAGGAACGTTGACGCCTGCAAGGCTCTGGTTTTGTTATTATCATTGGTTTCATCATGGTTAAAATTGATATGTTTATTATTTCCAGGAATCTCCGATGATGATTACCGTGAGCTATTGCATGATATATCAGAATGGTATGATGGAAGTGACTCCATTAGTATGCTGAAAGTATTGTACAGAGATCATGTGACTGATGTTCATACACTAGATAAAGCTAATAAGATGCGTGACTTGCTGGAAAACTTGCATACTTCTGGGAATCTGAGTCCAACAGATCTTAATATTCTGTATGACACCATAAATATAACTAAACAATTTGGATTCCAACCAAAAAATGAGGATCTGCTTCCATTATTCCAGAATGTTAGGAAGTTTGAAATATCAAAATTCACACCACACAGGCAAAAGCTTGTAAATCTAGGAATGACATTGAATGAAGCGGATGTAGCAACACTTGATGGTTGGTTTAACACACAACAAAAAAAATATGCAGACAGTTGGCATTTAATTAAAGATCTAGAACATAGAAGAGTGATTTGTGAAGAAAACATGAAAGCATTTATTGAAACTTTGAAGAAGCTCCAACACTTTTTGGCTGTGGAAGCTCTTATAGAAGGTAAACTTAATCTGGGATCTATGACTTTTTTAAACACTTTACAGACTAACAAACTTCATTGCAAATACACATGCTTTTGTTAATGTAGTGAACTTCTTCTTCATAGTTGTTGAATGACAGTTATATTTTATCTGTTCCACACAAAACTCAAAGTAATTACCTATGGAGATTTGATTTTAAAAAGTAAAAATCCTGAATTGTTTACGTGGCTTTTTAACTATAAAACAAGGCTATATTTTCAGTACTCAGATAATAAAAAAGGTTTTAGGTTTTAAATCAAAAAAAATTCTTGAAGTGGTCGCTCTTATACTTCAAATAGGTAACAAATCCTGTGGGGGGTTGACCAGTAAAGTAATTCTAAGTTTGCGTAAACTTGTTTTACGTCTGGGTATGGATAATTTAAAATCATTTTTGAATATTGCTCTATAATTATTTTGAGTGTTCTCACAATATTCAGATAGACTATGTTGTAAATTATATAATGAAGACTGGAGTCGCATGTGTGCTCCAAGAAATATAGAATGTAAAAAGAATATCTGAAGTTGATGTACAATCATTGAAGATTCATTGAATATAATAAAACTGATATTTGATAGTTCCTGCTTTCTTTATCAACTTTAAGTGGTAAGCTCTAACAGTTTAGTATAAAGCTTAAATATATAAAGAAAAATTTGAGCTTTAATATAAAGGTGCAGAGTGAGTTTTAAAACTGGATAACGTGTGCCTCTGGCATATATGTTTTTAGTACATAATAATTGTTTCAAATAATACACTGCACCATATGTCCAATACCATAATAAATGAGTTCTCATTTATAATCTTATTGAGTCAGAAGTATGTTCTTTAAAATTGAGAAATTTATCTTTTGCTAGGATATGGTGGATCAGCAAATGATGTGGGAGAAAGTACAATGTCTGGTCATCGACAGCAGCAACCCCCTCCAGCAAGACAATCGTTCCTGCCTCAACAGCTGCAGCAGCCCCAAGAACAGACGCTGACTTATCAATATTTAATCCGAAACCAGTCGACGACCAATTCGTTGGGATTAGATGTGCAGGGTAAACACCCGATGCAAAGCCTTCATTGTCGTCAATATAAAGCCTATAGTATTGTCAATACCATTAATTACTATTATGTATACAATTGAAGTAAAAAAAAAAAAACATTTAATCAGACAAAATTTGAATAAAATATATTAAATATTAATTGAGTTTCAATTTATTCAATTATAAAAATAGTTATTTTAAAATGTCACCGAATTCACCCACAAAAAAATCCCATTCAGAAAGTCTAAAAAATAAATAAAAATAATTTAATTTTTATCATTGTCTTGTCAATACCAATAATTATCATTAGCCCACAAAAAAATTAAAAATTGTGTTTGTCACATTTTGGGAATATAAAAAGAAATGAGTAGGCCGGTAGGAAAGTTTTTTTTTAATGTGTTTTTGCCTAAAAAGTAAAAAATGCAAGCAAATACCAATTATAAATCTATATTGAAGAGCAAAACTGTCACATAACATTGTTGCATTGCCTACCATCACAAGATAGGCTTATTCCAGCCTTTTTTAGCTCATGGAAAAAAATTTTTTTTTTTTTTTTAGCATATTTTTATTAACAACTCAATAGTATATAGTATGGCATGTAACAGATTAACTATCCCATGTTTTATTTTACTTTCATTTATATATACTCAACCTCTGAATTGCAATATGTTCCTGGATTATTGCTTGAGTTTTTAACCATTTTTTTGGTGTAAAAATAAGCCCTTGATGTTAATCATATAAGAACAGTTTGCTCAAAAGATATGGTACTTTTTCATAGGATTTGCATTTTAAAATGTTTAGCTAAAAGTACATGTTTAAACATGTTGGAGAAATGAAATGTGGTCAGTTTTGTTATTTGTAATTCATAATATTTGTTAATTGTTCGTCATGGTCAATGCAGATTATGAATGTGAATCAAAAATTTTATTCTGAAATTTTTTAAACACTGTACCGTCTCTGTATTTGATTTACTATAGTGATCTAACATACAGTCGTCTCACAAGATACATACAAAAAACCCTCCAATTCAGTTCTTAACTGCTATTTCTTGTAAAGTAGCTGAATAAATGTAATCACTATGCTAAACCATCAAAAACGTTTTAATAGATTTGTTCTCAAATTTAATTCACAGGCACCCCAAGTATATCTTCAAACTCTACTGGGCTTAGTGATGAAGGTAATACAAAGTTTTGAATTTGTTATAATTAATATTTTTTATTTTTTTCTCCATTTTGCTACGTACCTATTATTTTTATAGTAATTATTATTGTCACTATATATTATACAGTAGGGCAATGAAGACCTGTGCTTTGTGTGGAACGAAATTGACTTATAATGTATAATAGAAATCTGATCTGTACTTAAAAAACATGATTTTACAAATCCCCAGATTTACGTGCGCAACAATTCTGTATCGCACATAAAATTGAATTTCTATTGTACTCACAAATGAAGATGTTACTGTAGTTGTTGAGCTCCATTCTATTTGAAGTCTCTTGTTGATTAACAAGTTATATAAATTTTTTTTTACAGACAAGATTATCAGAGAATATCTACTAAGTAGACAAAAGAGAGTGTGTAGCACTAATAGATTGTTTACACCAGCAACTTTGAATACTGCATACCATGTAGATATTGCTGACATGTTCACTGACCTCGACCTACTCAAAGAAGGTAAAAACCAAGTGAAGGATGATGCCAAGCCAACAACTTTGAAGGAGGTTTTAGATATTATAAAATCAACACCTGCATGTAAAGTTCTAATAGAAGGTGAGGGCGGTATCGGCAAATCAACCCTCCTCAGGTACTTAGCATTCAAATGGTCCACAGGGCAATCAGATGTAATCTTCAAAGGTAAAATAGTGTTTCTTGTTCAGATCAGAGATATTGATGAAGATAAAACTATTTTGGATGCTATTTTGAAACAAATAAACCTTGAGGATTTTCATCTTGAAACAGAACTTCCTAAAAATCCTATATTAATAAAACGATTTATTCGGAAACACAATGATATCATATTGCTATTGGATGGATTAGATGAATTGAAAGGTGGTTGTGAGAGTCCAATATGCATTTTTAAAAATGAAATAATGTATAAATGTAAAGTGATACTTACATCACGATCTGAAAACCTCAATGAGTTCATTAAATATTGTAGCATACATGTGAAAGTAAATGGATTTAATAGAAATAATGTAAAAAAATACATTAAGAAACATTTTGCTTTCTTTAAAAAAACTGAATTAGGCGACTTGCTAATTAAGGAGTTATTAGGACCCATGTTCAATACACATATGGAAGTATATTCTATGTGTAAGAATCCAATGTTGCTTCTGTTAGTATGTGTCATGTGGGAAGAAAAGAAACACCTTCCAGCTGATAAAGCTGAACTCTTTAAGGATATTTTTAGATGCTTTTTGAATCAGTTTATTGACAAAAAAGCAGAAAAAGAGCAAAAAATCTCAATATTTGAAAATACTCCAGAGAAGTATGTTGAGGCAATGCTTCTGTTAGGAAAGTGTTTCTATGAAAGCTTAAAGAAAAACCAACTTTCAGTTAACAAGAGAGATTTGAAAGGACCAAACGAAATGGTTGCACTGGCCTTAAAACTGGGATTTGTATACGAAGATACACCAAATCTAAAATCAGATTTCGATGAGATTTTTACGACGCCTCACAAGTTAATAGTAGAGTCATTAGTAGGGTTTTACTTATACAAACTATGTCAAACAGAAATGGAGAATGAGTGTTCAAAGGACATGGAAATACTACTTAAGCCATTGGCTGATAATGAATGGCAAATGATAAGAAGAAGTGAATATTTTCACATGGCAAGGGTGTTTACAATTGGATTCCTAGGTGCCAAGTCTGCTAGGTTTTTAAGTCATTGGATATCTAATGATGTCTCAACATATCATTCTTTAATGACATATTTAGAATTTGTAAAAAAAGAGCACATGGATACAGTAGAAAATGCAGTTATTGATCACATGACCATGACAGATTTAGAAATAAAGCCACATATTTATGGAATTTGTAAATCAGTAAGAACATTTATCAGTTACATCATTCCCAATGTAGGGCTTAATCAAAATAAGCATTTCATACAGCTTATGAGAATAATTGGATATATATATAAACATCAATGTTTAAATGAAAAAGTGTTAACTGACATTAATCGTTTTTTTAGAGGGATGTCATCAGGAGTAAAAGGCAGAATGCTTGCTCATGTTATGATTGCTGCTGTATCAAATGATACACAAAGCTATTTGTTTAAAGAAATAGTTTGTAGAATATGTATTGCTGATGATGTTTCATATTTAACAGCTGAGTTTCGGAAACTGAATTTCAAATATAATATAACAAATTATAATTTGTCGGAGCAAACGACAGTTTCATGTGCGGTTCATTTGTTTACTAATGCACCACAACTTACTGCTTTACATTCATATGGTTCATTTGCTATGAATGATGTGATTAGAGAGTGTTCAAGTAGAAAAGTCAAGTTGGAATTAAGGCAGCTTGATATCAGTAAAAATGATCTCAGTAACATTAATGGGTCTTCATTTGCATCCTTATTTCTTACAACTAAACTGAATTTCCTTTACCTTAATGATTGCAGACTGTCTGGTGATATTATAAGTGATATGATTAGAGAGTGTTCAAGTAGAGGAGTCAAGTTGGAATTATCGCAGCTTGATATCAGTAAAAATAATCTTAGTAACATTGATGGCTCTTTATTTGCGTCCTTATTTATTTCACCTGAATTGAATATGCTTGATCTGATTGGTTGCACTCTGTCAGGTGATATTATAAATGATATGATTAGAGAGTGTTCTAGTAGAGGAGTCAAGTTGGAATTAGAGACGCTTAATATCAGTAATAATTATCTTTGTAACATTGATGGTTCTTCATTAGCATCCTTATTTATTACACCTACACTGAATATGCTTGGCCTGAGCAATTGCACTTTGTCTGGTGATATTATAAATGATATGATTAGAGAGTGTTCAAGTAGAGGAGTCAAGTTGGAATTAGAGAAGCTTAATATCAGTAATAATAATCTCAGTAACATTGATGGCTCTTCATTTGCATCCTTATTTATTATTACACCTAAACTGATTATGCTTAACCTTGCCAATTGCACTTTGTCTGGTGATATTATAAATGATATGATTAGAGAGTGTTCAAGTAGAGGAGTCAAGTTGGAATTAAGGGACCTTGATATCAGTAATAATAATCTCAGTAACATTGATGGCTCTTCATTTTCATCCTTATTTATTACTCCTAAACTGAAGCATCTGTACATGAGTAATTGCAGTCTCTCAGGTGATACAATGAATATTATTAGAGAGTGGTGTTCTAGTAGAAAAGTCAATTTTGAATTATAACAGCTTTACACCATTCAATTGTTCCAGTAGAAGAGTGAAGTTGGATGTAGCTTTATATCAGTGGTAATAATCTTAGTAACATTTGGTTTTTTAGACTACAATAAGGCAAAAGATAATAGTTATCCTACATTTTTACAATCTGCAACTTAACCCTTTGGCAAGACAAGAGGGTTTTTTTTAGGTAAAAATGACCAAATACAATTATTTGATCGTTGCTGTCTCGCCACTTGGATAAAAAGAAAAAGCAGCCTTCATTTTAAACCATTTAGAGTTACTTTAGTTTCTAATGACTGAAAGAATACTGTAAATAAGTTAATCATAAATAAGTACAGGCCTACTCAATTAATTTGATTAAATATTATTATGTAAATAATTAAATGAATAAGCTAAATGTGAATACTTGTATAGTTTATGAACTTGTATTTATTAAACCATAAATGATTAAATAAATATTGTAGTAAATTGGCCTACTCAATTACTGCTCTTTGTATATAAATTATTAAATAAGTTACACAATAGTACATAGGCCTACTCAATTACTACTGTCTGTATTATAAATTATTAAATAAGTTACACAATAGTACATAGGCCTACTCAATTACTACTGTCTGTATTATAAATTATTAAATAAGTTACACAATAGTACA